CATCACCCTGCTGATAGCCCTCGTCAAATACCAGACCATCCTCCGCAAAATCCGCCAGGGCCTCTGCTCTCGCTACCTCGAATCCCTGACCTCGCCCGGAACCCCTCTCCGCATAACCCTCCACCGCAGCTCCGCATCCCTCCACGGGCCCATCCACGCCCGCCGGCCCCTTTGCGCCGTCGCAACAGGCACCGGCGTTGCGCCCCTCCGCCTCTTTATCGAAGAACGCCTCTCCCACCTCGCCTCAGGTGTGAGCGTCGGCGATACCGCCGTCTTCTTCGGTAGCCGCAGCAGAGAAGCAGATTTCCACTTTAGTGACGTCTGGGAAGACCTCAAGGCGAAGTATACCCTACCTTCTTTTCCTACCACTACCACTACTACTACCGATTCTGCTGCTGCTGCTGCCGCCGCTACAATCAACCACGCCGACGCCGCATCCGCAACCCCCGCCAACCCCAAATTCGACGTCCTGCCAGCCTTTTCTCGCGACAAGTCCGTCCCGCGAGCCTACGTCCAGGACGTGATCCGCAAACACCCCGAAACCATCCGCGCCATGGTCGCCTCGGACGCCATCTTCGTCGTCTGCGGCGGCAGCCTCAAGATGTCGCGCGCCGTCAAGGAGGCCGTCAAGGATTGTTTGCGCGGCGACTCGTCGAGGTACCCGGACGACGCGACCGTGGAGGCTGCCTTTGCGAGGCTGACTTGGTGGGAGGAGATTTGGTAACGGGCAAGAAGACTGCCTCGGAAAGTTTTCTCGTTGCTGGAGAGGTACTTGGACGACCTCTCCTTGATGGAGCCGTTGGGAGGTCTGGGCTGAGGATTTTGTGTACCACCTCGTTCACGTGCCCAACGCGGGAAGATGCAATAGATTAGACAATGAGATTACACCCTTTCCAAAGCAGTCGCCCTCCGGCTTACCTATCACTCAAACTTGGACCTGCTATCGTGTATAGCAGACAACGTACATCAATTATCCGTATTCCAAACGTGCACTTGTTATCCACAGTAGAGGTTGGAATCAAACTCAGCGGTACTCTTAGCCCTCAGTGATGTTTCCTGACCTTCACAGAACCCAATCCACCCACGGGAAAATTTTACGTGAGGAGAGAAAGATCATTCATTTGATTTTGGATTTATTCATTTGTTTCTCTACGATGCCGAGAGTGGAAACTAGAGATGGTGAGGCTTGTCTAGATGCCAGAACATGGCAGCTTTGGTGGCCTCGCCACCTCTCTATCTCGCTCCCTTTTGAGCATATCGCAAACAGAATCCAAGCTCCTGGTTCAAACCAGCTCGTAGCTAGACTCTGTACTCTCCATCTCCATCTGGGATAAGGTTCCCGCTTCGCGCAATCAACCAAGTCCTTTCCCAAGCCCAATTTTGTGGGCACCTAAACGCCGGCATGTCTGCATGCTGATATCCCTGTGTCCCCCTTTCTAGGGGGACATCCTATCCCAAACTCCTTCGCTTTATTTTGATTTATTCGAATCTGAAAAATCGGACTACAGAAAAAGAAAGAAAGAAGTAGAAATAGTGCCGGCCGCTTTCTCTGCAGTCGTGCATTATAAGTGGTTATTTGTAAAGATCAAGTCATTTTTCTGGAAAGAATGGCAGGCTTTTCATGTTGTTAGTTCTCCCAGCTGTAGCGACGCTCTGCCATCTGGGGAATGTGGATGAATTCGGAGCCGTCGAGGCGTTGTAGGCTTCGCAGAGAGGTTGATTCCGCTTGCTGACTCCTCTCCTCATCTGGTAGGCTCACTTGTCTCGTCAAGTTGTCCTGAGCCATTAGCTCCTCCTCGAACTCGGTCCAGTTGCTTCCCAAAGTATCGGTAGATAGGCGATGAGCAGTGAGGTCCTCAGGCACGGCAAGGTTGGTCCCGTGAGAGTATGCTAGCGGAGGGGGGACCACCTCGGGCTCTGGAAGAGACACGTTCTCTGGCAAAGGACCCAAGCAGACGATGTTTGATGGGTCGATTGGTGCCCTTTGATGAGTTGATGAAGGCGGTGAAGGAAGGGCAGGCAGAGGAACGTTTGGCGGCATAGGTGAGAAGGTGGCGCGGGTTGCTGTAAACGCCTCACTCTCGGGGGACACAGGTTGAGGCAGTGTGTTGCCAGGGTTGCTGACAGTGAAGGTTGGTGATGGGTACGACGGACCTTCTGTCAGGGGTGATGGGAGATCAGATAGGCGGTTCGTCCATTCTCCAGCGCGGGGGCTCATGGGCGATGGCAAGGAGCCATGGGTTGACGAAGAATTTTCGCACACTGTGGGAGACGAAGGCGAAGAGGCAGATGCTGGGGACGAAGCAGGTAATAACCCAAACTGTTCAGGTCTGAAAGTCGCGACAGGGCTCGTGTACTGCATCGGCTTCTCGGCAGGCGGAAAGTCGGCCGGATTCTCTGGAGGGGAGTACGCCGGGACAGGGCCTTGAAGTTGGAACTCTACTTTTCTCCTCGCAAGCTCGTACGCGCTCACATCTTGCGTGTCTTCCGTCCCGAATTCGGTGTGCTCATGGACCGACTTGTTGTCGTCTCCGTCCAGCTCGACCGGACCTATCGGTGCAGGCAACTCGTACACTGCGTGGTTAGCATCAGCCGCAACTTCCACAGGCTGGGCCGTGCTGCCCATAACCTCGTGTGTCGATACGCGCTGAGTCTTCTTTTTGCCCCGCACTTTTGTGAAGAACTTGCCCATGGGGCTTCTCGGCGACTCTGGCATAATTGACGACGCGGCATCTTTCCCATCTTCCAACGACCTAGTCATCTCCTGCGTCTTTCGCTGGCGGCGACGGTAGAAAAAGAAGCCAGCAAGCATTATCAGGCAAGCGGCGATCACGCCTGCCGCAATGCCACCCATTTGCGCTGTCGAGAGACCTGTATGAGAATTTACCTGGGCCGGCGGTGGGAAAGGGCTATTGCTAGGCTGCACAATACTCTTCAGCTGAAAGGATTGCAGAGGAGCATCCGGGAACAGGGCCTGGTGGAGAGAGAACACGCCTGTATCGTACTTGGTGATCAAGTAAGCCTCTTGAAGAAACGACCTTCCGATGATGAACGTATTGGTCAAGTTGGAGGCTCTTCGAAGAGGGAAGTAAGGCACTGAAGGTTCGCCATATTTAATCGTCTCGCTCTGAAATGGATATCGCAAAACTTGCGCAAAAGCTGCAGCTGTGATTGTGATGTTGACCACGCCCGGTACGGTGAGCGGGTGGCCAAAGTCGTCACTGTTGTCATGGCTAGAAAAGGAGAAGGTGAACGAGTAGGAAGATGCGCCGGCCTTAAAGTTGGCATACTGCTCATCGGTGAGAGTATACAGGTTGAAGGTGTTGTTGTAGGTCAGGTTGAATGCACTAGCGAATTCATCGCAAATAGCGTCAGGGAGCCAAAGAAAGGGGGTTGAGCTGTCGATCATGGCACTGAAAGATGTGGACATGTTGGACAAGATTCTCGTCTTAGCATCCCAGCCGCTCGGCATCTCCTTGCTTTGTGGCACAGTAACTTCGACGCCACGGACCAGGGCGTGAGGCAGACCATCGCTCGGATCCAGGGAAAATTCGTTGTTATGTGGGACAAAACGGCTCGCGTCGTAGCCTCCCAGAGTGACAGAGCATGGCGTGCCAGACATGCCCACTGCAAGAGTTAGTATACGACCAAAGAAGCGGATAGCATGCACTCACTATAGTAGGCGCCAGCAGTATAGCCGTAGCTGTAACTGGGGATCCATCCGTAATTCTTGACCGCTTGCGTTAAGGGTGATTCGGCAACCTGATTGCCAAAACTGCCCTTGGTGATGCCGAGTCCGAGATATCCAAGATAGTAGTCGGTGCTGTTGATTGACGCGGTCACAATGTTGTCCATGCTCATTCCATCCCCAGTCAAAAGCGTGCTTGAAAGCTTGTCCAGTCCATAGTCGCCGTTTCCCCCATAGCCGAGATAATCAAGGCCAAGCTGCCATGCGCCCAACGGATTCCAGGATTTCGAGTCGGCAATGGTGAACACGTTGCCTCTGGCGGTGTTGCACAAGGGCTCCTCTTCATGAGATATTAGTTCTGACATGTCTAGGTCAGAGCGCGAGCTGGCATCTATGCGCTGATGAATGACAGCTGAAATACTTACTTGCAAGACAGCCACCGGCTCCAATGGCCCAGAATTCAGACAAGGACGTGCTCGCAAGAACATTGACAGACTGTCCCGGTGTGCCGACTTGGAACTTCACTGTTGACCAGTTGCCGTCGACGCCGTACCTTGGTTCAGTTAGAGATGAGATTGCGGGCCCAGTTTAGGAAATGTCTCAGCGTACCAGTCGGTTGAAGGAGTGAGAGCAACTGCGGATTGACTTTGTGCGCGAACGATGCCAGCAAGCGCCGTTGCGACAAAGATTGTTGGAAGCATGTCGTCGATCTTGGGACGGAACCCGGTGGGTGGTTCATTCGAGGTGCGCCGAGTCACCAAGGCGTCTTTGCGATGTGCATGAGCGTCCCGAGGGAAGGGCTGGCAGTTCGAAGGGGCGTCTCCATGAACCAGACCTATCGTCGAACCGTGTTTAGGAAACGCTTTCGTATATCCGTATGCCGCGTGCCTATCCCAATGCCTCACGGATCCCAAGGCTAAGAAATTTTGTGGTCGAACGAGTGATCAGCCGTGAAGAGCAGAAAAATTGGGAGGGGAAGAGGGGGACACGGGCAATTGAACTCTGCGGGATGATCAACAGGAAAAACTAACTTCTGCCATCCATCGGATTGAGTGGGTGGCAGCCAAAGCAAGATAGCGTCCATGGTCATCCAAGCAAGGACAAGCCCGCGCTCTGCCAACTACGGCCAAGGGCTGTGCCGCAACAAGCAAGGGAAAGCCGGAAGGCCAAATGGCACGACGAGGGGTGAGACAAGGACCAGGCCCCCGTCCAGCACCGGTCTGGTGGTCCCGTCGTTCTTGGGAAAGCTGGGGACCGGGGTACAAAGCAGGCATCCCTGTCTTCTTATCGACACACAGTGCTTTTGCCCGCTTCAGGAAAAGTGCAGAGCGCGGCAGAGCCATGTCAAGCCCTCCCTTCTCAGCATGGCGCTGCCGCCGTCGCGCCTCATCGACGACCATGTGTCCGCCCCGCAGATGGAATGAGACCTCCCGCGCCGACAAGAATCAGCAGAGGCCCGAGGGAATGGCCGACGGGGCTTCATGAGGCTGCCGTCGCGGGCGGCGGGAGGGGTCTTTCGACACGGTAGCGTAATGGGCCAGTGACATGGGAGGCAATCCGTCAGTTGACTGGTTCTGGAGACGACGGAGAGAGACTCCATCAGCTTACCTGGCGAGCAGGGGGGATTGGGATTAGACGCGGTAGGCGAGGGCGACGGAACTTCATCCGTCGATTCGAGGAGAGAGTCAAGACCTTGGACGACTCGCACTTCAATCCGGAAGAGCCAAATACAGTATAGGCGCCTCTCGTCTGTTGGCGATGGTCTGGTATTTCTCTTGGTAGCACAGGCATGCATCCAGTCTGCCGATTCCATGACAGAGTCTCTTAAAGTTTTGGCCATTTCTGTAGCGGGACGCTCAACCGGTGATGAAGAAGCATGTGTAGCGTGAGCGCCTCGATAGGCTACTTTGGCGTGTCTGGCAGCGGTAAAGGATTCCATGTGAGGTAAGAAGGGCGAGGAAACCCGCTAGCTTGGCTACAGTAGGCTTTTCGAGTGTCTAGACCTCCTTTGTCTCTATCCGTGGTGTTGCTCCTCGAGATGCGACAGACTACAGGAGTCCAACGAAGCTGCAGTCGGGACGGCCGAGCAGTTTGCTAGCCAGGCATATTGGTAGACAAAGCCACTGCAGCGGATAATCCAAGGGGTAGCAATCTCGATAGACGTTGAAGGTTTGCGATGGCAGGCTTTGGTTTATGACCAGTCACATGTATCAAGTCGCCTGTTCAACTTTGAAACAGAGAGCTACGGGTTCATGACACAGGTTTGCTGAGCTTTGATGGAGAGGAATTAGCCCCTTCTTACAGTGGACGACAGACTGTCGCCGACAATGCCGATGTGTTCGTTTTGCCTTGCAAGACGGTGCTCATGCTGCCAAGGGCGTAAAGGCGAGGCAATATACCTGAGCCCTGGAGGGGCATGGAGCTGAAGGTCCGAAGCGAGGAAGTCCCTGGATTCTCCCGCCGGATCTTGTCCCCGTTGGCCTCCAGTCCAAGGTACCTTTAGTATCCTTCAACGTAGGTGCAGATACATGACATGACTTGGGATGCTTGAGAAAGAACACCCAACGATCTTACATAATAAGGGGAAACCGGGGAGATAGCAACAACGACCCATGGGCTTTCCGCGACTTCCAAGTCCCAACTTTGGTTTGTTCTTTCCCAAACCCCAAACGGCGCCTCTTCTACCTCAAGGAGGAAGGAAGTTGGCGACCCAAGCCATCGGTTGAACCGTGCACTCAATACTCCCGCATAGTAGTAGGTACCTACAGCAGGTGCAGGTTGTCACTACGTACCTGAAGGTAGCCACTGCCGCATTGATTGCCTAGTACCCACTTCACAGGCTCAGTCTGCCCTGCCAGTCAAGCACACTTGGCCGGAGTCTCCGTCTCTTCCTTTCTCTTCTCCTTCTTCCTGCATATTCAATATTCAACCATCCGTCATCGACCACGACTAACAAGACGCTATTTTCTCAACGGCACCGGTGAATTGACGGACAAGCCGCCATTGACATCTCGTGAATCACAGCTGATGTGAGACGAGTAGCCGAGTGCAACTAAATTTTCATTGCGTTCCAAGTTCCCCCTCTTCCCGAATCCCAAGAGATTCGGCCTGCGACACTGGCCCGGCTTGCAGACATCGACCCGGACCACCGACCACAGTTGCGGCCACACGACGTAGCAACAACTGCACATCATGGTCCCGCAAGGACGGGTTGGCCTCGACCCCAATGTGACGTGGGCCAACTGATGGATCCTTTATGCGCGCCCTTCTTCAACTCAATTGCCCTCGCGGGCTCTCGCCATTCATTGGAATCATTGCCAAACATCCGCGCCACAGCTGAACGATATCCCGACGTCTTATCACGTTGCTTATATGCCAATCGCCAGGGACACCTCTATTCTGGGTTCGCCTGCGTCCTCTGACATCGCATCGCCATTTCGACTTTGTGCTTCGCTTCACTCCATCGCCATCCTCGTCGCCTGTTCGCCTCGTCTCTTACATTTTGCCTCTATTGCCTGCTAGCGTCAAGACATGTTCGTAGGATTGACAGCTTCCGCTCAGACGCTTAGATGACTGTATGGCATCCACACCTACCGCCACTGCCGACCGGCCCGCCTCCTTCAGACTGCCAGCATCGATAACGACAGTGCGTTGACTGCTCGTTGCCTCCCCACAGGATGGAAGCCCAGTGCCGGGATATGGGAAAACGCCCGCGCTGAATCTGTCATTCGTCGAGCTCCACCCGCTGTCGATAACTTCAAACCTAGAAAATCTATCGGCTTCTTCGGACCTCACCTCACTTTTCACTCAACGCCAATTTGAGTTATAATAAAGGCTATAGCTGACAATCAAGAGCCGTGCGAAAGAGAGATCAACAAAACAAGGTTTTCACTTTCAACGTTGGAATTTCATCAACATGATACACCTCATCAGCCTAGCCAGGCACAGAACTGACAGTACCACATGCACAACCTGGCCGCATGAGGGGCGCTAGCCAAAGGCAACCGGAGAGAGGGTGCCGCGGAACTCAAAGCTGCTTGTCATTCCCAAGCCTGTTGTTCCGCCCTCCGTCGGCGCGAGGCCTGCGTCTTCGGCACATCCTCGCTTGTCGTCCCTCTGAACTGGAACCTCCGGCGGCGTCAACGACCCATTTGCACCTGTTCACATAAGGATTGACTAGTGACGGTTAGAAGTCCAATTCCAGTGTCATATCTGTCCCTCTGCCACTCACGAAGGTACAGACTGAATTCCGTAGAACGAACTGCAGAGAGCCAATTTCGACACCCCTGACTCGCAGTCTGTGCTTAATACAAACAGCGGTCGGCAAGGTCAAATTGATCGCCAGCATGCCACTAAAGTGTCCTGTCACAGCGCCATGGCTCGACACTGATCAACTGCATCAAGGTGCGTTGGCTCGTCGCATTGGCTGAGTGCCGCGCAAGAGTGCAACGCGATACACTGAAGAGAAGTCAAAACGCGTCATCTGGTACCGGTACAGCGTATCAGGTTGCTGCGGTGCCGTGGCCTGATGTCGGTCTTCACCGCAGCTGTGAGACGCAGGTCGGAAATGGCGAGAAGCCTTCCATGCCGTGGCGCCCGTTCACTCATTGCCCCCACGCGCAACGGTGCGCTAAACATGGAGGCCGATTACGGACGATTTATTCGTCATTTTGGAGTGGCAGAATTGGATGGTATCATCCAATCTCTCTCCCTATGCCGAGCGGAGAAAATGCGCTAGACCTGTCTTGATAGACCTGGGTTGACCCTGTTTACAGTTCTTCGAGCACCAGGTGACGAAGTTTGGCATATCGAGACCTCGAAATCAATACTCAAAGTCCAAATCGGCAGAACATATGATAACCAACTACTCTGACGCCGGAGTTTCATGCCACGCGCAGGATCAGAGTATAGTCATACCATGCCTACCTCCACGCCACCTTTCGATCAGCCCTACATTACTTTATCGTGCATGTCGACATCCGCGTGCCGTGTCAATGGTCAATGGGAAGCTGCTTGGTTGCGTTACACGGAACATAGAGTGGACTTGCGGCGTCAATACTGCAAAATAGGCCAGCACGTTGGGCAGTCAATCTCACCCGACGGATAGGTTCAGGCCGGACCTCTCTGAAGTCTGAACCTCTTTGGAGACATACGTAGTAAACAATTCAAGGTGTCTGCATGTCCTAGACATTTTTGCACTCCGCACATTTAGACGCACATCTCCCGGACGCACGGTGATTGCACCCGTGCACACTAAGGTAGACTTCGGCTCAAGCGGACCACAACAAATTGTCTTAACCCACCGTCATCGCCGACAACTATCCGAAGTGTCTTGGTGGGAGGATGGGCAGACGAGGTACGAAGCTAGTTGAGACTACCAACCAACCTCTTTACGGAGACAGAGTGTTATAGGCTTAGCCTTTCAACCACTAGCTGCAAACGCATTGTTGGCGAGGGTTTCTCGGTGTGCCTGCGCGATCTTCCCATATGCCTTTGACAGAATGTCGATCATTTCCCCTGCCGCTAATTACTGATGGCTACTATATTGCTACCAGGTCTTCGCACGTACTCATTGTCCGCCATGAAGCAGCTCCCCAAATTATCTATGGAGTGCTCGTCCTTATGGTCATAAATCCACAATCACAGACGCAAGTTGCCATCAAGCAAATCTGCGTGGCTGGCCCCTCCCTTCGATGGAGGCCGGATTGTCTTAGACATTTCTAGCTCACGGCCAGCACTGCCTTCGGTTGACACTAAAGACTAGAGGAGAGACACTACAGCACGTTTCTTGACTCGAACATCAACGAATGGAAGCGAACCAAGACGATACTTTTCAGCCGTCATTGACCAGCAATGGTGGACTTTCCGATGAACATTTTCCCCCTTGCAGCCGCACACCGTCTTCTTGTGTTCTGCTCCAAGGAGCACTGGCACCAAAGTCTTGCTACTTAGACAGAGCTCGTAGTTGAAGACCGAGAGTCTGTAAAGATGCTCTCCTACTTAGCGCAACTAGAGCAAAAGCTTGGGGATGGCAGTACCGCCGCCGGTAGCAGCTAAAGCTCCGGTGCCACTCTGTCGCGTCGGCCCCTTGTCCTTGAAAGGTAGTTCTTGGTGGTCACCGCGACGCTAGAGGCCCAGCCGCGTCGGTTTTGATTGACGGCGGGCCATTTCAAATGAGATGGCTCCTGTCACTGCTACACTACATCAGTGGCACACACAAAGCCGGGAAGTTAAGGTGCCATGGTGAACTAACTAGCTGGCTGGCTCCCCTGTTCTTCCTCCCGAAGTTGCCAGGTTACGCGTCGGCGCACCCACCTTACGGTCCGAAGACAGCAGAGAATATGAACCCCCTCTACGCCCTAATCGCCGCCCGGCGCCCGGCGTCCATGGCCGTTTCCTCGCAACTTCATCGCCCGTGAATCCCGCTTCATTCCAGACCTTGCAATGAGTGTGTGGGCTTGACATGACTACTTCAGAGCCACGAGTACTTGGTAGTTGTCGCCGTATCAGTTCGTGCGTCGCGGTTACAAGTAGAGTTGACCGTCAAAGGGGGCAAGGATGCGTGGGAGAAGGCGGGACTGCGATTCGAGACGATACATCGATATGGAACTCCTCAAGCTCGCGTTGCTTTCCCTGGCGGCATTCTCGAACCCAGTCCAAGCCCTTCAAGTTGGTAAGTTGGCAAATATAGATCTTCTCTCAAAAAAGACCGAGAAGCTGACTGTACGGCAGTAAATCATATTCCTCACGGCAGGAGACAGGTCGTCGGCTTTAACAGCACGACATCATCGGCCGCAACAAGCTCTGCACTGCAAATTACGTCTTCATCTACCAGCTCAATCACCCAAGCAGGAAACCCGTCAACTAGCACAGTCGGGACCGAAATACTCTCGTCTACCTCAATCACCCAGCTAGCAGGATCTCAAAGTTCGATAGGGATCTCCTCGGTAAGAGGAGAGTCAGGGATAGGCAGCTCATTGTCGACGACATCAGACGAAACCAGTTCGCAGATCTCGGCCGCCGTAGGAAGCATACTGACCCTTACCAATGGCACAACGCAAACCACAGCCCTTGTCACCGCGACAGATGTGATGACCTCGCAACCCAGCAGATCATCTTCATTCACTGGAGCATTGACACCGTCCACTGCTTCTACTCGAGATTCGACGTCAGTAGGTTTCAACATCGCGGCCTCTGGCAACCAAACTCGTACTGTGTTCACGGCGTCTTTACCGGCAACTCCCACGAGTGTCAGATCATTCTTTCCTATTAGCAACGTTTCAATATCCGCGTCGCCCAGCGGGAACTACACGAATGGAAATTATAGCGGCTCGCCCACAGACGACGGCGGGGGGGATTATGTGACTTTGACACTCAAGGGTGGTTACGAGCCACCTGTTGTCTGCATATCGACTACACAAGGCGCCGTACCGACAACTTGGTCAATAGTATACACGACAACAACGACAATCTTCGGGGATCCGACGGGTTACACTCCACCGGAACCCGAAATCACGATCCCAATCACCTGCAGTCCTGCAGGTCTGGAAGAAGGCAAGGGTAAGACAAAAGTGTCTGCGAGTGTTTCGTGTACCTCAGAGGATGGTGTGGATATTTGCACAACCGAAGCTCCTCAGTTTCCAACCTTCAGTTCAACTCTTGGTCCAGAAACGACTGTTACCTTTGTCACTACGGCCAAAAATCCCTCCGTGGTCTTCTCACCTATCAGTACACCCCGATATGGTCACGATCCTGAGACACAAGCCCCGCAAAACAGGCGCTCATCTGCGAAACCCACAGCAGAATCCACGCCGAAACCGACGCCTTCGACTCAGTCACCCAATAACGATCCGAGACCACCTGGCTCGCCACGTGAAAGTGCCAAGGAACCGCCCAAGGCTACCTACATGATTACCGTAGCGCCAACCAAGATCATCATCAACGACCAAACTTTTACGCAGACCGACCCTTCAGAGACGACTAAGGTGACAGTGAACGGCGATGAATTCACAATCAACCCAAGCGAGGTCATTGGGGGTGGTACGGTCGTCGATCGGCCCGGCAACGTCGGCCGAAGCACCATGATTCCATCCAGCACGGTGGTGGGCGACTTGCCTATTGTGATTGCGCCCGCAGGAACGCAAAACGTTGTTGTCGTCGGTGGGACGACGTTTGGGGTGCAGGCTACTCCCATAACGGCTGTGGTTGAAGGCCAGACGATCACTATTGAGCCATCCGCCGTCATTGTCCCGGATCCAAACGCTCCAATCGGCGGTGCAGCTCCGGTAACGACAGTGGTGAAAGGGCAGACCATCACACTTGTGCCATCAGCGGCCGGTGCTCCCGGGGAAACTGTTTCATCCGGCCGCGCTGCTCCACTGACGACCGTGATCGATGGGCAGAAGACGACAATCCAGCCATCCGCAGTGGCCGTCCCCAAACGAACCGTTTCGATCAGCCGCGCGTCCCCGGTCCAAACGGAGATCGTCGTGGCAGGCGGCGAGATGATTACTGCCATTGGCCCATCCGTGGTCGTCATTCGGTCGACCACGTTTACATACGGACTAGTTTCAACAGTCATCACAAAGGTTGTAGATGACGATACTATCTCAATAGGACCCTCAGGGGTTTCTGTGCGCAATATCACTGTGGGAGGTCCTGGGGCAAAGGCAACGGACACCACCTACGAGATCGTGGGCGGCGCTTCAGTCACGCAAGTCGGGACATCGGTGGTGGTCGTAGACGGCACAAGCTTCACCGTGGGGCCAGGAAAGGGGACAACGACAAAGGTGTTTGGCGGCGAGACCATCACGATTGGTCCGTCCGGCGTGGTCGTTTCGACGATTACTCTTCCGTACCCGTTTGGGCCGACGGTGATTACGACAATCGACGTGCCCTCGACGGCGGCGGCGCCGTCGCCGGTGCCGTCTGAGACGAAGAAGAATGGTGGTGGTGCCGTCAGGCCGGCGAGGGCATTGACGGGGTTGCATTTAGAGGTTTGCATAGCGATCGGCGTCTGGGTTCTGGGGCACATGTTTTGAGACACGCCAGGGGACATGACATGTGCATGTTCAGTGTGTGCTACTGGCGTCGGACGGTTCTTCTTTCTCTTTGGTATAGTGCAAAACAGGGCACAATGGGATAAGCGAGGGTCGCATACATTGTATAGAATCAGGAATGGGGCTCTGCAACGACGGGAAGGGCTGAACTTTTGACACCTCCCAGGGGAAGCGAAAGGAATCATGATGGATGGCGCGATACGACAGGGAACGACACAAGCGGAACGCGGGGTTCTGATGCAGTGCGACCCTGTCGTTAACGACGCCGACGAACTGTATTATTATTATAAGGTACATCTTAGAATGTGAACATAATCCGAGCTACGAAGAGTAGAAGTAGAAGAGCAAGCAGGGCCACCACCAGGAGCGGCAGCGAGGCCACACACTCAGATATGACGCACAGCCATATGCGGGTTACAGGAAATGCCAAGCCCCCACCCCGCGGCCGATGGGGCCGGCCTCCGTCGGCGCCGACGGGCTTTCTGGCTGACAGGTCTTTCTGGGGGGCGAGTGCCGAATGATCAATATGACGCAGCATCATCTCATCCGATCTTTGTGCGTCATGTCCTTGGGGTGAATAACCTGCCAGATTTGGGATGGAAGGCTTCTGGAAAGGGGCACGGGGTGATGTGATTGGTCGCATCCCCCCCGCGCCGGCGCCTTTGCGCCCATGGCCTGCTGGTGAGGTTTGGGGCTGAAGGCGAGGTGGTTCAGATGATACACTTGCGCGAGTCGAGGACCAGATGACGGACGGATTGGACGTATGGTGGTGGGAGGTGAAAGGGTGTTAGGATGGGGGAGAAAAGAGCCTCTTTCTTTAGCGGGTTGGAGGGCGGTAGACACGGTGTGAATGTGCCCCAGGCGAGGTGGATCTAGAGTCTGGGTGCGGGCAGGAAGGGCGTGGAGGGGTAGAGAATGAGGGGTCAAGTTTGGGATTTTCACATGGCTGCCTTACAGACGTCACGGTTCCCTTGTCTCGGGGAGGACGAGCGACGGCTTGTTTTGGCCGGCGGACCACCCCCTGGAAATCGGGGGGCCGCATCGCGACCGGCCGTGGGTTCGCTCTAAAAAAGAATACACCCATGTTATTTTTCAGCCTTGGTGGTTCTCTCTGCGTCTAGTTCTTCTCTCTCGGGTTAGGTAGGCCAGGTTGGTAGGTAATCCTGCTGTTTGAGTCTCTCAGCCTTGGACGTGGAGTTGACATGGGGTCGGCAGTTGGTTCTATGGGATAGGGATCGTGATATCAGTGTACACGCTCATACTCCCCCTGGCTTTCTTCCCTACCTCTACGCGCCCGCGCACTCCCGCGCGCGTCCGTCGTGATAGAAGGGTATCTTGCGACCGGAATATTTATCAGGTATCTGAAACCACGACCTGGTCTTCCACCTAGCCCGCCTACTGCATCAGCCCGATCCATTCTTCCAGATACGTCACGGGCTAGAAAGAGAAGAAGCCAGCTCTCCAAACGCGTATCAGAACGCAAGACCAGGCTGTCGACGTTGAAGCATTTCGCATCCCACACGGCCCTAATCTATTCACGACTGTTCACTGTGTGGGGTTGGGGAGGGTTTCGAACGCCAAGGCACCCAGACTGGACTTATACCACTTGGACGCTATGCGGCCGCATGCTTGCAGGTGGATTTGAGATGGGAGGTGATGGTTTTGTGTATATTGGATTCTTCTCTCAGCCCTTTTTGGAGGGTCTTGTTTAATCCGCTTTTTTGGCGTTCAGTGTTTGGCGAGGGATAGGTGCGACGTTGAGGCGTGGGTTTGGGGTTCTATTTTCTGTTTTTGGCTCCTGTTAGATGTTACTCTCCCGTCTGGACGAGGTTTAGTTTGCGGGGTGAATGTAAGTACAGCTTCAGGAGCATTATGGAAGAAGAACAGGAAGGCTGAGAAGGGGTTCTAGAACTTCTTTTCTTAGATGGTGTCACCGCAGAGGGTGAATGTTTGACGGCATCTGCCGATTTGGACCCTTTTCCAAGAAAAGGCATTCAAACCGCCTGATTTTCTGCGCCTATGCTCGTCCCATCATGCCACATTTCTTAGGAGGGCTGTTATGCTATGAAGACTGATATGTTAGTAGGAGTGATATGTGCCTGAATTTACAGAGGTTTAGAGTAGATGATTTTCTCTTGGAAGTGGAGGGGAGCACGGGGTCCGGGGTCTGGGGTATCGGACCTTTTGCGGGCGCGGAGGTTCGGGCCGGGGAGGGAGGTTAGGGGCCGGTTCTCCGGGGAACAGAAGAAAGTGTCTTCCGGTTCCGGTTCGGTGCCCGCGGTCCTTCGATTTCGCGGTGGCTGAGGTAGGATGAGTCTAGGGCTAGGCGGACAGTGTGTTGTTGGTAGTCTGGCGCTGTATACGAATCAATGGATGTGGTCGGGGGTAGGGAAATCGGCTCTCCGGAGTTTGGATCAAGTCAAATCCATTTCTTCATCCACAAGCTTCTGTTGGACATGTCTTTGGATCATGTACGAAGAAGCAGGGATGATAGATGTTTGATGATGCATGTCTAACACTGATGCCTTCTGGCAGACTTTCTCGTCTCCCGCTCCTTATTCCTAATGTGACCATGATGAGAGCACACCGATGACACTCAGCGGCGTAATGGCTCGAACTCGTAAATGGTTATTAGCGCAACCAATGAGTGACTCCTCAGCGAAGGTGTTCGCTCTTGACCTCTATTGTAGCGCTGTTAATATGACTTCCTCTTTGGCTATCGAGCTGCAGACGTTCGACCCTGGAGCAAGCCAAGCTACCGTAGTCCGGATCCTTGCCTCCCGCAACTAAACTCTTTGAATGGTGGTGACGATGAGGAGAACTCTCTCAAAGAAACCAGTGTATTTGACTCATAATCTAGCAGAGTAAGGTGATTTGAGCGCAGAGGGCCGACAAGGGCCGTGATGACAAAGATTTCAACTGCCGGTCGGCCGTGTGGAAGCCCATACTTGAAGAGCAAGTGAACTTCAACCGGCTAAACAGTGACAGATACACAGAAACAACGCTTATAAGAGCATAAGAATCAGTTCAAACAAGTCCACCTAGCGATAGGCCTTCTGGCTGGACCTCATAGTTCACCCATTCCACAGAGTTGCTCAGTCCGGGGGGCAGAGGCAGGAAAGCTCGGTGGCCTTGATATCAAAGTATGTCTGAACAGCTACAGTCACTGTGCAATAGCGAGTCTGCATTATCCAACTTCAAGATCTGAAGGGTGTTTCTGCAGTAGTGTTTTCCTGCGAGAAGATTCGGTATAGACGATTCGTCATGCTTTCCATGACGAGATGTGTAAATGACGGGGCCCAACCCTCTGACAAGACCATTATTTCTTGTGTTATATCATACCGGGAATGCATATTCTCCATGTAGGAGCCCTCAAGATGCATAGAGGGCGCGACTTGAGGCGCCGGTGCTGATCCCCAGACCGATTCCGGAGAACCAGCAGATCATAATCAACTTGCACTCAACGCAGTGACACATACGACCATACCCATTGGAAAACTCGGGATCCCGTCCGCTCTCCCATAGATAAGCCAATGAGGGCCGGATTAGTAGTTGGGTCGGTGACGACCAGCGAATACCTGGTGTTGTATGTTTTTTGGTTGATGCGCTTTGAAGCGTTCCATTTTGGTGGTTCACGATGTTGTTTGCCCCCACTTCCACGTCCACTCCTGCCGAGGTGATACAACGGGACGTCAAAATCCAGAGGAGTTTTTAATGAACAAAACTTTGATAATGATGATTGTTTTTTTGGGGGGGTTTCTTTTGAGTAAAGTATACTATTTACTGACTTGATTTCGTTCTTTGGTGGAGGTAAAGACCGTGTTGTGTTGTTGAAGAGACTGATCCAAGGCAACACTAACTATTCATGATGGACTATAGAAGTCCAAATAATTTGATATGCGCACACGTAGCGCATACAGTACCCTCCAGTTCATAAGATACCCATAAGAGAAAATTGTGACCGCGTTCGACACCTCTGGCTGGCGGCTCAGGTCGCATGCCATCAAGGCGACTTGGGTATGTGCCGAAGAGCAGTGGGCTGGCTGAGTGATCTCCACACCAATTTGCATATGAAAACGTCCGCTTGCCACTGAGTGAGTACACGAGCTCATTTCCCTGTTCTATAAAGTCTTTCAAGTCTTTCATTCTCCTCTATAAACTCGAGATCCTTTTGTGCGGCGGTTTCGGCAGTCTTGGTTTTTTTGAACTCTAACATATCGACAAATCTCTGGTTTAGTGTCTTTGGTTTCTCCGGGTCTTGTACTATGCCACGGTTTTTTTCATGTTCGGTCACAGCCTTTGTCATTCGCTCAATTATTGCACGGTCAGAATCATGTCCCTCGGCTCCCTCAGCGGAAGAGCTTCCGTCTCCAGCCATGCTTTTGTCGCTCGAGTGATTATAAAGGTTTCAGGAGGCTGATTCTGGTGAAGGGAGACGCTTGATTCTTTTCTGTTGGCAATGACAAGGTTGCTAGCTTTGGTTGGCTTTTGCTTTTTGTCGTTATTTCTCGTAGTCGAGCGAGCTGTGGTGCTGAACTAAAGAGATTCATTAGCAGGTGTCCTTCCGGCGTACGTGCAGATCCACCAACGATTTATAGATGATTTGATGCAAGGAGTCCAAAGTGTATGGGGCAGAATTCCAGTGAATAACACATGGTAGCAGGCGGTTCATAGGCTTTTATGGCCGGAATGCCTAGGGCCTGGGACGAGACGTGGCGGCTGCTTTGGTGAAGCTGAATAGCTGACTTGGAAGACAATGGTGGCAGCGCCAGGTGACTCTATGAACAGTGGCAAATGGAGTCTTTCAAAGGCTGAATAGAAAATCATGAAAAAAAGGGGGGGGGGGGGGGATCATTCCTAGCCATCGTTCGCCCAACGAAAGGTGAAAGGGGAACTTCCTTTGTCAGTGAACAACGTCAGGGTCAGAGCTGGAAATACATTGCCAGCAAGATGACTGGCGAGTATTCATGACGAAGTTCTTT